CAGGCCAAGAGACAGCAGGTCCGGTGGGGCTGCCTCACCAGACCACAACCCAGCTCCAGCACATGCGGTGACTTCTCAGTCTGGCCACTGCTGCTCCTTCCCCCACTTTTCAGGGACTGAGAGGCGATTCCTAACCACAGAGGTGCATCAGAATCACAAGGCTCTATTACTACATTTAGTCGTATTTCAAGGTAATCCACTCACATGGTAGAAAATTACAGACGGGTACAAAAACTGAACACCTGCTGTTTCCAAAGTCACACTTCTGCTTTTTATGAGCACACCTTTGCAGTGAGTGCATAATGCTTACCTTCCTCACAGGGAGCTGGTACGTGTACGTAACATTTCTCAATTCATTCTTCATCTCCCCTCCCGCCCCTCTCCTTCCCCTCCTTCCATCTCTTGCCTTCCCATCTGAGAAAGATCTATCTCCCTCTTTCCTACTATCTTTTATTTTGCTCTTTATTTATATCTTGGATTCCTCATAGAACAGAAACCATGTGATATTTAAGCTGTGTGTCTGATTTATTTCACTTAACATTACGGTCTGAAGGTGCTCCCATTTCCCGACAAATGAGTCAGGCTTATATTTCTTTATATTAAAGTGGTACTTCTTAGAAGTAAGAATTTTAACCGTCTTCTCTGCTTTGTTACTCTTACTGTTTCCTCCGTCCTTCTGCATAATGTGTCCGTGTCTGCTTTTCTTGTTGTCAATTTAACCTCATCTGCAGCTCCCATTTGGGGACGAATCATTTCATGCTATGCCCCACACCCTCTCTTTGCTGCTCAATGTGCTACCATTTGGAATTGTTTTAATGATTACCTTTATACCCTCCACATGTCAAAGCTTGATTTTTGGTTCACCAGCATTAAAGCGTCACCAGACAGATGCAGTATCTGGTTTCTGTGCAGGGCTACAGAATGACGGCCATCAGGGATGACTATTTCATGGCAGCTCCCTGAGATTTTCTGTGAGTCCTTCAAACTGAGGACCATTGCCCTGGGCCTGCGGTGCTGGGCACCCAAACAACGATGGCAGGCGGGCAACCCCCATCACACCCTCTCACTGTTTTTGCTGTGGGGCAGCAGGAAACAGACAGGCAAAAACTCAATGACCTGAAGTTCCCAGGAGCACACTTATCCCAAGCTCCTTTCCGGGGGAGAGACACTCACTCCACAGAGAGCCACAAGACGTATGGGTGCCTAGGGGTACAGTGGAAGGGGCGTGGCTTTAGGAGACCTGACTTCTCACATTGAATGACTTGGAAATTAAGCACCTTGTAGGGCAATTTCTCTGTTCCTCCAAGGTACAGAGCAATGGGCTCAGCATCTGGATGCTTCTTACAAAGCAAGCAAAATCGCTCAGAGTACTGATGATCAAACGTCACAGTTAAAACCTTTAATAGAATGTAATTAGCACATTAGCGTCCTTAAACAATACTACACAATTAATAGCACAAATAAAGCAGATAAAGAAAAATGCACTAATTACCCCATATTACCTCCCAAGGTTCTTAATAAAATGGAAGAAGAAAATTAGAAAATGATTTAATTAAACCTTGGTTAATGAGAGTGCTCTGGGGACTAGAGTGAGTGAGGTGAACTTTCCAGATAACTGGTAGGCAAAGAGTCAGTATCTTTACACCCCTTTTTAGCTAAGAACATTTTTTTGTATTGTTAGAGTCCTTTTTCTCGTGTTATGGAGCAATCAAGTCCCATAACCACAAGTGATCAATGTTATCGTACAGTTTCTATTTGCATTCCCAGCATGACATTTTATGTCGGAGGGGAAATGTTAGCTATTAGATGAACAAATCTTGACCCTGAGTTACTTCTTCATTTGGGCGATTTTAGACAGTGTCACCGATAGGAGCTTCTCCTATCATTCTCTGTCTGTTCCTTTTCAGGGTGACTGGGGGAGCCTGGGGGGGCAGGGATCCCATGGGATCCCACCCATTCATCTCCACTAATGTGTGCCCAAGGTGTGGCTCCGCCTCTCCACCATGAGGCATCCTGGTGCTACACTGGCCCGCGTTTCTGTGCGAACAAATCCTGCCATTTCCTTTGGGCTGCATTACGCTTGAGATGGCAGCAGTCAGCACCAAATGCCCAGGAGCTTATTACAGATTTGAAAGTGACAGAATTTGACTGCAGGAGACAATTTCCATTTCATTCTCTCAATAGTTATTTCATGAACAAGATGTTCTTTTGAAAGTCTCTAAAGAGTGTGGGAAAACCTCTCCAATGTGCACTGGCTTTTAACCAGTGGAATAGTGGTGTTCTCCAGAAGGCATGGCATCTTGCAATGCACACTGGGTAGAGAAACCTTGTTCTGATTTCACCTATACCAACAGCTTGCCGGTGCCACTACTCAAATTGGCTACCGCTGTAAAACTCTGAAAACTGTGGCTATGGGACAAGCGAATCTCAAAAGTTACTTCCAACCTGACATTCTCTTTAGAACCAATTAAAATATATCGACTGGTATTTGCTGCCTGCTAATCAGATTTGCCTGGCTAATTGGTCTTCTTGCTGGAGAGAAGTCTCTGGCTTTTATTTTTTCACTCAGTGAATAAGTAATAAGTACTACTTCGTGCCAGGCATGGTCTAGGTGTTAGGTTCTGGGACATATCAGTGAACAATACAGAGAGGGCCTTGCCCTCTGAATCTGACATCCTGTTGGGAGGAGGCAGAACAATGGGACCAGATAATTTCAAACGTGAACCATGCTCTGGAGAGACTGGAACAGGTACTGGGACAGGGCTTGCTGGGATGGGTGCTGGCAGGGACTCCATTGGGTTCTCCAAGAATAGTCTCCCAAAGCAAGGACTGAGTACAAGTGGTTTCTTTGGGTGCCCAACCTAGGAATTTAGGAGCCACAGTAGAGAAGCAGGACGGTGAGGTAAGGAAAAGAAAGCGGACCATAAGGTGCACTTTAGACTGCTGAGGGAGTGCAGTCCCCCAGGAGCTCTGTAGATGTCAGTCTAGAGCATGCACCAGGGCAGAGGATTCTGGGACACATATCTACGGCCTCCCCACGTGTCACTGACCGAGAGCTGCTCCTGGACATGTTAATTCCTCACCACCTCCAGCTTACCCAGCATATGGGTGGGGAAGTAAGTGGTCACAATTAGGATATGATATAAACAGCAGAGTTTAAAGGGAGCGGCGTTGACACTGAATGAGGCGTTGACATTGTCTGCTACAGGGAAAGAACAGGCTCTTGAAATAGATGTTAGGAAAGACATTTCTAGCTTTTCTAGCTAAGACCCAGAAGATGGAAAGGAGCCAACCGGGGAAATAACATTCTCAGGGAAAGAAGTGAAGGGCACAGCAGGACTGGGCTGGGTTTGTTTATCAAGCAGAAGAACACTGGAGAATCACAGAATCTCGGAGGCCCATGTGGACGGATGTCTTCGAATCATGGAGCTCATTCTTTTAGCTGGGAAAACTAAGCGGTGTCATGAGAAATTAACAGATGTGGGCAGATCGCTGTGTGCCCCCAGATCCCCAGACAGCGCTGAGACGACCATTTGGGCCTCTCAGAGGCTCACAGAGGGCTCCTCCAACCACCGCGGCGTTTCCTCCACTCCTCCTTCCCTCTCTCTTGGGCAACTCATCCTGGATCAAATCCTTGCAGCGACCCCCAATTTGTGCATAAGAAGAGAGCTGAGTTTACACAAATCCGTAGGAGATCCTACCTTGGGCTGCTGCCTGACCTCATTCCCCACCCTCTCCTCTCCTCAGCCATCATACTACAGTCACAGCAGCCTCCTGACTGTTCTGGAACATGCCAACAACGCTCCACCTCTGGGCCCTTGCTCAGAACGCTCGTGCCCAGAGACTCCCCAGAGCCCACTCACAAGCAGAGACCCTGAGCCGACAATTCCCCTCGAGTCTGCCCTGCACTTTCCCTCCGAAGCCTGGTAGTGCCCTTCCTTGTCCATTCGCCTCATTATGTCTCTCTTCACAGGACTCGGTTCTGCCATACCGTAGGTGTGATGGGACTACACCGTGCTATGTATGAGTTTGTTTGTAGTCTGTCTTTCCCACCAGAGTGCAGGGTGCATTAGAAAAAGTCCCGCTTCATTCACCTCTAGAGATAGTGCTCAAAGATGAACTGCATAACTGAGGGACTTAGTTCCAGCCCCATCTGTGGTGCTAACTCTCAGAACGACTTTGTGCAATTCTTTTCTCCTACTCTATCTCAGCTTCTTTATCTGGCAAATAGGCATATAATTTTTACTTTATACAGGGATGAAGTGAAATGAGGTCATCCATATGAAAGTACTGCACATTACTGAATATATTATATAAATGTAAGGTTTCCTTTTAAGTTGAAGGCTTCCTGAGTTTTAGCAAATTTTACTGAATTGCATGGAAATTCCACTTTCAATAAAGAATCCTTTGTGGATGTTAGAACTGATCAGGCCTCATCACGTAGAGCCGATCCGGTCCACTGTGCATGAAAGAGCTCAGGGCGAGGGATAAAGCCCAGATCAGAATCCAGCCTCTTCCACAAACCTGCCAGTGACCTTGGGGAACTCACAAGAACTTGTCCACGATGGGCTTCAGAATTCTTTTCTCTCTAAAGGGTGCGGGCTGGGGCGGTGAGCGAGGAGGCGCTTGTTTCACGTATCTATGTTATCGTAACAGCCGAGCCATGCACTGGTCACTCAGCTGCAGCACCGCTCATTGATCCCTCAGTCTCCGGCAGCCCTGACACAGCATGTTTGCTGCCCTATCATGCCAGTTTCCTGTCCTGCACTGGACAGACAAACATACCATCAAGTAACTTAGTCCAAGTCAACCAGAGACTCGGGAGCTAGTACTTCTGCCCAGACAGGCTGGGTCCAGGGAGCCACTTGTCACCACTGTGCTCACCCTGCACAAGCCAAGCAACACCCAGTTCCACTGTAAAACCCTACCATTCTGTGACATGGGCGAGTTGACTTAGTTAGAGAACTTATCTTGATTTCTCCCCTCCCCTCCTTCCACAGGGCTTCATGGACATTGACTTAAATAAATTCAAGGAGAGTGGAGCAAACGTGACTGGTTTCCAGCTGGTGAACTACACAGATACCATCCCAGCCAAGATCATGCAGCAATGGAAGAACAGCGATGCCAGAGACCACACCCGGGTAGACTGGAAGAGACCCAAGGTGTGGGGATGGGCAGCCGTCATCAGGGAAGGGCCAGCCTGGTCCCTTGCTTGCCCTAGACTTCTGGGAAGTGTCTGTCAGCTTTAGAAAAGAATAGCTTTTCCAAAAGGAACGAGCAAAGGAAAATATATCCATAAATGTTTTTGAGTGTATCATGCAAGATTCAGAAAACCCAAAGTGACAATGCTTTTAGCAAGACAGACATTCTGTTTTTCTCTCTGGTGAACAAAATTCAAGACTCAGCAGCCCCATCTTGTTCTGCTGTCCTTAGCACATGGCTTCTGCCTTACTGTGCAAGATGGCTGCTTAAACTCCAGCCATCACCTCAGCATTCTATCTAGCAGGAAGATAAAAAGGGTAATGGAACACACAACTGCTTTCTTTAAGAATGATTTGCAAAAAAGTCACACAAAGATTTTCCACTTAGATGGAAACCACCCTCACATGACTGCAAAGGAAGCCAAAAACTTCTGTCTGTACTCTAGGTGGGAACACCATGTTACACAGCTCAGGAGGAAGCTGTATGAGTTATACAGTGAGGCGGCTCTGTTCTGGACAGCCATGTGCCCAGCTAAATATCGGGAAAGCTCATTAAGGGTTATCCAGCAGATCTCTACCTCAGAGTCAGCTATCAATTATCATGCACAGTGTCTACTTCCCAGAAATGCCTCTCCTGATCCTGCGGCCAAATTCTATTTTGTTTGCTATTTGGGAAGAGTTTAGAATAAAGAGAGCAAGTAATTTTTCTTCCCATGTCAGATCAAATAGCTTGGCAGAGGCTATGCAGGAGGCTGGGTGAAGAAGGATTCTGAGGCCAAGCTGTTATCTGGGGCAGTGAGTCCCTGGCCGACTTTTTCTTGCTGGTCAGTCAATTTGTTTTTGTAAATTGCAGGCCATATAACTGACATGCTTCTCAGCCCTCTATTGATCAAACTAACCTAATTCTTCCACAAGGAAGACTTAGCCAGGGATGGTGGCTCCTGCCTGTAACCACAGCTAAGTTAGCAAGACTCTTGACTCAAAAGAAGACGGGGAAGTAGCTCCATGGTGAAGTATTTGCCTATCAGGCCAAGGCCCTGGGTTCGATCCCCAATGCTGCAAGAAAGGGTTAAGGATGGAAATTAAGACTTACTTCATTATAAGCTTAAATAAACAAAAATCTCAAATGTGCTTTAAATCAGTGAGCGAGCCAGACGCAGGAACCAATTAACTAATACGCAAATACACCACTCAATTTCCAAATGTAGCATAATTTTTTTAAAAGAGAAAAAAAAACCCAGTGTTAAACCCTATAAACATACTTAAAATTCATTCTGCAGCTCACTACTCTGCGCTTACAATGCGCCAGACAACACCAGAGGATTAGGAACGATTTAACAAAGAAGATAGATATGGGCTCCAAATCCAGAAATTATTTTCCTGAACTGTTATCCTGCTTTGGTATCATCTACCTGTTTTGCCCCCGTTTGCTCCTGTGTGGAAGGAACTGAGAGCTACCATGAATACACTCCAGGAAAGTTCACAGGATGTAAACTTACCACTTGGGAGACCCACAGTCCAGAAACAATTAAGAGCTCACTTGTCTCAGAATATTTTTTTCTTCCACTGTTACAAGAAACGGTGAAATAATCATTTCTTCTTGGCTCCCAATTGGTGACTATAATGCAGAGAAAACCAACTGATTTTTCATGTGTGTGGCCTGCGGTGTTGGATTTGTTGTATGCGTTTTCCCCCTATTAAGCTAACGTTGCTTAAAATCACCACAATGCACACACGAGTCTAGAATTCCGGTTTCTTTTTGAACATCCCAGCTGGCTGAACTGAACTCACCCTTCACAGTGGCACTGGCGAGTGTACGGAGCAGGCCGTGGGAAGGGCTGGGGTCACTCCCTGGTCACCGTGTCCCCCAGCCCCGCTCCTTCCACCTAGTGTGCTGCACAATTCTCCTCACCAGGAGGCACATTCCCACGTACAGCTCCCCACCTTGCCTTCCCATCAGCTCCCTCTGATACCTGTCCCGTTCCTCCCTCCAGTACACCTCTGCGCTCACCTATGATGGGGTGAAGGTCATGGCGGAGGCTTTCCAGAGCCTACGGAGACAGAGGATTGATATATCTCGCCGGGGGAATGCTGGGGACTGCCTGGCAAACCCAGCTGTGCCGTGGGGTCAGGGGATCGACATCCAGAGAGCTCTACAGCAGGTAAGGCTGGCAGTTTTCTCATTTCCTGGGAGCCTACTGGAGAAGTTAGCAGCAGATTTCAGTAGCTTTTAAAACCAAAAGGGAAATGCTGAGGATTTAGCTCAGTGGTTCTGCTGCCTGTCTGGCAAGCATAAGGACCCGAGTTCGACCCCCAGTCAAAACAAAAAAACCATCAGGGAAAACATGCATGGAGTTGGGAACAACCACTGAATTGTGTGTGCAGCTCTTGGTACAGATGGAACCTCATGTCAAAAATTACACAAATAGATAATGTAGAATAGTCATTCCTTGTAGTACAAAAGCTGTATTTTCTGCTTGGGGATTATGGTGAACAAGGACAGCCAATGATTTCTGTATTTAGAAAGGGCACCGGAAATATGCAGGGATGATGGCAACACATATTAGCAGTCTCCTGGACTTTGTTTTCATTGCCTTTGTTCTGAGGGCACATTTCAGAAGGGTCTGCTGTATGGGGGCCCCTGGAAATGTTTCACAGTACTTCCAGTCCTACTTTCTAGCTTCCTGGCTTGGCAACCATCAATTCTGTTTGAGTTTAGGAACAGTTAAAGAATAAGAATAGAAATGGTTACGCCCACTCCCATCGATTGGCTATGCAAAGGATTCTAAGGCTGAAAGCAGATACCACAGCAAAGAGCATAAATATTCAATTAGTGATACGTGTGCTGTAGAAGCAGGATGAGACAGTGGTACCTGTGGGCGGATATTTAACATTCCAGGTTTAGAAAATTCTGAGGACTGCACTCTCTGCTTTATCACTCTTGGATCTACTAGAAGTCTCTAGAAGTTCCCTGAGCCCAAGCTGGTTCTCAGTCTGCGAAGCATAGCACAGTGTTATGCCTCAGATGCCTCCTGATGGAAAAATTGTACTTCCAGAGACTGGGGAGGGCTAACAGCAAATGAATGACAAATCATCAGGTAACAGTAAATCTGCCACAGGAAGATACTCTGTGGTAAATGTCGCTCAGTACCCGCCCTCCCCGACCAGTCCAGTTGCCAACTCTACCACATTCAGCAGAAGGTGGATTTGTGCTCTCGGGAGGGAGAGAGGTGTCTCTGAAGGAAGGAGAAACACAGAGTAAAATGTACAACAATTCCCATTTGCTTTCCAAACACGTGTGCGCAGCTCTGGGTTTTCACAACCTGCAAAACGAGAGAAAGGACAGCCACCAGTTGTTCCTCAGGCCTGCTGAAGTGCCTGGGTGTAGAGGACGTGAGCAGGGCTTGTCCTTTGAACGTGAGCGGGGCCGCTCATCAGAAGCCCCAGGAACCAGAGGGACACACGCCAAGGAAGACCACCAGCCGCCATATCTGACCCCCCCTTTCTCCAGGCAAGGTGGGCCCCAGTGACGCGGTAGCGACGGCAGACACCAGGCAGCTTCCGGAATGAACAATGGCCAGCCCCCAGCTTATTTAAAATCCTCTTGCAGATATGACAGTCAAGACAGACTCTGCAATGTAAGCCAGGTTTCAGAAGGTTCCAGGGACTTTCCCTTGGCTCCATGCCCCTTCCAACTCCCTGGCCTCCCCTATCTTAATGACATCCCTGGAAGGGTATTCTGATGGCACTGTGAGAGGGACAGAGCCTGAGAGGCGATGCAGAGCGAGAGCAAGGGCTCTGAACCAGGAGGCAGTGGAGCTGGTCCGCAGATCTCTCCAAGCAGACTTAAAATAGTCATTCAGATCTCCCGGGGACCTCCTGTTCTTTATCCATAAAAACGAGGAGGGTGGAAAGTCAGCTCCTAAGTCTGAACTGGCTCAGAGAATCAGAATCAAATGTGTGAGGCGTAGTGGTGCATTTTTATAATCCCAGAACCCCAGGAGGCTGAGGCAGAAAGATAGCAAGTTTCAGCCTGGTCAAACTAGTGATATAACAAGGCCCTGTCTTGTGATGAAAAAATGAAAAAGGGATAAGGAGATGTAGGTCAGTGTTTTCTTATCTCATGTTCTAACTGAAGCCCTACTGCTTAGAATATCTGCTCATTCTATTCCTGCCACCAGTAGGGCTGGAAATGAAGCAATTTTTCCATGTCAAAAGAATAATGACCTTTTGTGTTGTCTTGGAACCAAGAATTGTGTGCATGCTTTTCATCAAGAGTCTGCATACTGTGGCCTGAGGCCAAGCACTGAGGACAGTACGAGAAGGCAAGGCCTGCCCTCAAGAGACACAGCACTATAGGGAACAAAACAACCAACTAGAAAGCTCCTACCCTCAGACTGATGCCTTATCAAATCATCCTTAGGCACCTAGAATCAAAAAAGTTTATTGCTCAATGAGATCTTAGAGATTCCTCTGGTTTTCCCACACTTTACCAATGAGACAGCTGACTCACAGTGGCCATTGTCTCCTGCAGTGTCACACAGCAGCTTCACAGCAGGCGGAAGCAGGCCCCTCACCAGGGCTCCCCTGCTGTCCTGTCCAGGCCATCCCATACCCCAGCCATGTCCACTGTGCAGCCATTTTGCCTTCTGGAACCATCTTCTGAAATAATCCCACCCTAGAAGCAACTGTGCCTGCGACCAGCTAGGTAAATCCTGACAATGTCTCCTCCTTGGAACCCAGTCCCTGGGGGCTCAGGTCTCAGCCTGACCAGGCGGGTGGGTGGGGCTGGGGCTCAACTGGTCAGCTAGTCAGGCCTGCAGGTCCAGCACAGCCTACCTGGAGGCTGACACACTGCAGAGTCTAGTTCTGGAAATGAGTGGTAACAACAGCTATGATGTGTTAAGGGTTTGCTATGCTCAAAACGCTGAACATTTATGCCTGTTATCTCACTGAATCCGTGATATAGCACAGGAAGTAAGCTACCTTTTATTAATTGTGCTCTATAAATGGAGAAACTAGCTGGTGGTGAAACTGGACTCCAGTCCACCGTTAGTTGACCTCTCCTTCTGTGCACTTAATTGTTCACAAACCTCAAAATACCCAGCCCAGGAGGGGAGACGTAAGACCAGTGATCCAGGCCCACAGCAGCATGCAGCCTCAGGCCATATCTGTGCACCCACACACTCCCCACACTAATTTCCCTAGCAGCAGAATGAAGACAATCTGCCCACCTACTTGTGAGGTCATGGACCTTTAAGGACATGATTTTTAAAAAGAAAAACTTTGCAGTCTTTTCCCCAGGAAAATGTACACATGTACGGACATATGTAAATTTCCTTGAGACCAAGAGTGAGGGGAACACAGATACTGCTAGAAGCTAAGCCCAAACCTCAACTTTAAAACACCTGCCCTAAATATTCATCATTCGCTTTCATTTCTGTTTTTGCAAAATGTCAGCCAATCACCAGGCATATCAAAGGGAAGATATGCCCAGCAATTTGCTAGAGGGAGCTGGGATAGTATGGCAGTAAGAGGAGCGCAAGACAGTCACCGCCTTTCAGTCACCGCCTTGCAAGGCAAGCTTAGGAGCAAGAATGGCCCGAAAGGTGTGGATTGAGGCCTCAATCACACAGACAAGCTTTGGTGCCATGGATGATCAGGAGGGCAGAATGTATCACTGAACAGGAACAATGGCAAAGCTTTCTGTAGGGACTAACTGCACCTTCAGCAGGATGCCAATGTAATTTATCATCTAAGCTGGGACACCTAAGAGTGAAAGGGGAAGAGAGGAGTTTTGCTCGGCAGTGGAGCGCTTTCCTAGCAAGCACAGGGCCCTGTGCACTCCCTAGCACTGAAAAAAGTGACCAGGAGAGCTGCTATCAATTACTCCACAGCAAGAGTTGTACAATGGAACTTCCGCAAACTGAGATGGACGATCACCTGAGCTCTAAAGGAAGGGTGAATCTGAACAAGGAACAAATCCAGTTCTGGGTAGGAATGTTAATCTTGCCCAGCAGCACAGCAGGCTAAGGTGCATGCAGAGATTTGTGAGTGTCACATTTGGCCTGTTAGGGGACTCTGGCACAGCAGAGCTGGGCTCTAACGATGGCTCCACCCAGCACAAACTAATGGGAAGTGTTGCGGGGAGAGGTGCCTTGGCCTGATTAGCCAACTCTTCTAGGCCTTCATTGCTGCATTTGCTAAATGGACACAATCCTCCTGTTACTGCTTTGCCTGCTGATTTGTCACCAGGGCCCAAATTTTAAGCTGCATAATGTAAATGCCTCTTTGAACTCAAATGAAATATACATGTGAGATTAGTTAGAGCTAAGATTATTCTTCCCATAGATGTGTCAGGGAGGGGGTAGAAGCTCAGGGGGATTCTGAGACTTATTCTGTCCAGGATAACTAGGTTGTGATCCTGGTGGAGTACAGGCTTCACAAGTCACCATCTGGCAAAAAGGAAGGACCTACCTCACCCAGGTGGTCATGGAACTTGAAGGTAATGTCAGTGAGTTTGACTTTTCTGCCAAAGCAGGGGAACTCATCAAGGAGAAGGTGTAGCATAAAAAGAGGGACCAAGATGGAAACTAGGTATTTCCTGTGCTTCACAGATGAATAAGAATGGAGGAGGAGACTCGGGAATTAACCCCTCAGAAAGAAGAGGACCACAGAGTCCAACACCTCAGCCAAAGAAGAGATTTGCTTATCTTTGAAAGTGCCTTTAGCAAAGTGCAGGGGCTAAAAGCCAAATTGCACGCCAAAATCAACTTAAAAGATTGGTCAGAAGTATATTCTGAAGTTTTAAATATTTTTTAAAAGGCAGTCATGAAGAAGTTACAGAAGCCCTGGTCCCGAGAGGCTCAACTGTGTCTTCCAGGGCTGCTTTTCCTGGATTCTGGATCAGAACAGGGTGAGGAAAAAAAGCTAAAGGGAAACTGACCAAGATTCTGTGCTTGGTCGGAGTGTAGTCGAGCACCTGAACCTCCTCCTGGGCTCATCCATCCACTTCCAAGGAAAATCCAGCTTTGCTACAGGGCCCTGCTCACTCAGCATAGCGCCTCCACATCCTCCATCATCCCGCAGGCAACTTCCAACCACACCGCTTTGTCAAAAGTAAGAATCCTATTCGGTTGTGCTAGCCAAAATCCCTCCTACTCCTGGGGTTTCCACTTAGTAATTTGTCATCCGATGACCCCAACCCTGTACCTCAGTTATAAATCCCCCCATCCATGCTATATTTGGAGCTGAGCCCAATTTCTCTCCCACACTGAATCTCATCACAGTGATCCTATGCCTATCTCCAATGTCCAGAATGAGGCCTTTCTTACTGTGCTTTAACAAGTGCCACTGAGTAATTTTTAACATGGCTCAAGTCACAGAGACTTTAACTAGCATTCTCCTGCCACCAGGCAGTAAAGAAAATGTATGCTTCAGTGTCTCACCAGCAGCAAAGTCTGGGCTGGCACTCAATACCATTTACAAGAAACCCAAGGTTAATTCCCCATCTATCAGGGAGGAAGCTGACGGGCACCAGGATGGCTCCAGGAGTTGCAGAAGTAGGAACCAAGCAGAAATGTCTGGGCTCCATCCATCCATCTGCCCTTGGTCACCACGGGGGCGGAGGGAGGGATGGGCGGGCATCCAGAGCTCAGACCTGATCGATGGGACTGCACATTCAGATGTACACAGAGCGGGTATTTTCTGAGAGGCTTCCTCCTCTGACTCCAAGATCTGACTCTCCCAGATGAATGGTTTGTGGCTGAGCCACTCCCTTGACCTCTCCTTGTTCTGCTGTCACGAATGGTGGTTCTGAGATGCCTCCTTTCCCGTTCTGCAACACCATCCCTTAACTCCATGCGCATAGGTTAGTCTCCCCAAACAGATGGCCGAAGTCTTCAGTTATCCCAGGTTTCTGATTAAGTCTCAGGGAGATTATCTACAAAATGGGCAAAATGATCTCTGCCCTGGCTTTTGGCCAGGAGTTCACGAGATTTTTGTAAACAGCAGAGAAGCAGCTGCTTTTGAAGACACTGTGACAGGGCACGAGGATCTGTGCTCGCTAGAGCTTTGCAGGTCTGATCTTTGACCTTTTTTGGAAACAGACGGAGGTATATAAAAGTGATAGCAACAAAATCTTCATATCTGCTTAAAGAGTCCCCCATTCTCTGCTGTTCAGTAACTTACTGGACAAATAGCCTTATTATATTATTTTCTTTTCGATATCGCTCCTCCATGTAACAAGACATGATCACCATTATCTAAATAATATATACTTATGCACACTTATGTTCCAGAAGAGATGATAAGAAATTCAGTTCTCTGAGAAGGAAAAGAGAAAATAGGTTCAGTGAGAAGCCCCCACTAACTATTTGGGAAGGGACAGATAACATCTGGAGAGAGGCAGCAGGTGCCCTGGGTGGTAGTGGAGGGCAGGTAGCATGCACTACGTGGCACCTTTATGTGTGGCCCACTGAGAGCCCAGCACAGTAGGGCTGGCCCTGGCTTGAGAGACCCCTTCACACTTTAAGGGATCAGAAGCTCTGGGTCTTCAACTTCTTAGTCCTGAGTCTTGAGCAGATCACTTTACTTCCCAGGGCTTGGGGTTCTCGGTTCTTGTGTAAGTGAAGATCATCATAATTTCCAAATAGCAAAATCTCACGGATTCCTATGAATGTAAATAAAGCATTGTGAAATCACTTCATGAATGTGAACTACTTGGGAAGTGGTGGTGGTGTGAGTATCACCGTTAATGACAACAACGGCATCTGTCAAATACGGTGGGCCAGTCATTGATCATAAATATCTCATTTAATCTTTCAAACAAACTTAAGGCATAATTAACTCTGATGGTTCCCATTAGATGAATGAGGAAAATAAGCCAGAGAGAGAGCATGCAATTTTCCATACTAATGTGCCATGTTGATGACCAGTGTAATATTTGAGACAAGCCCAAAATATAGATTCCCCCCTGCTTAGACTGCTAATGACGTCTTCGGGCAAATCAGTCTACTGTCCAGTCATCTGCACATCTACTGCACTCTGTTTTTCTAAACGAAAGAATCAAACTGGTAGCTGCCAATGTAATAACACTGCCTTGTGCCTGAACCAGTGGGAAAGCCGAAGGTGGACAAGAGGTAACCAAGGAGAGAAGAAGGTGAAGCTTCCAATGGGCCAGAATTGCTCCTTTCTTTTATTCTTTACAGCAGGATCTGTGCTTTGCTTTCTTTCTGAAAAGTAAGGACAGCCCAGCCTTTTTAAGAGCTGGAGCATTCTCCAAATTTCAACTGAGAAAGTGAAGAGCTTGTTGTATAATTTGCTCAGTGCTCTGGGCCTGTCATGGCTTCCCCACTGAGACTTCAAACCAGAAGGTGATGAAGGGGTCAGCTCAGAACTGGTGCACATGTGCGCGCACGTGCGTGCACACACACACACACACACACACACACACACACACATCAGCTATTCTTACACCTTCTAAAGGCAGAGGAGCTGACTGCTGTCAGAAAGAAAAAAAAAACTCTTGCAAGACTTCCTTTTCAGCTACCTGAAGGGAGAAAAAACATAAACAGCACTGGGCCACAGGGGCGCATCTGTGTCGGTAACAGACAGACTCATTTTGCTGGCCTTGGGTGAAAGGGATGTGAGAACACACAGCAGCAGGCCACCATGAAGAATGTGGATTCTGACAGGCAGCTGGACTCACCCTCGATCTGAGGGTAGACTTGGACGAGATATACTGGTCATCTGCAGAGCTGCAGGCTCAGTCCCAAAGGTCTTGAATCCCCTTGTTGACCACTTGACCCTCTACACAGACTTGAAGATAGGAGTCTGTGAACATTTAATCTGACTCACACAAGGAGAAGAAATCCCATAATGCATGGTTCGGGGCTCTAATGCAAATTTTACATTAACCTACTGAGACCTCTGTAAAGCCCCCCACACACTGGTCTGAGCATAAGAAGTTCCCCTCAAGGGCTCTTCGGCCTTTACAGCATTTTCACCTTAGCTGCTTCATTTTCGGTAGGCAGGGTAGGAATGTCAGGCACTGGAGGCTTAAAAAGAGGAATCACCCAACATCCCCAGGTGTTAATGGGGAAGCTGGAATCAAGCCCAGGTCTTTATATTTCCAGGTATGCTACCTGCCCTCTGCTGCTGCACGGGGAAGCCTCACAGTGCAGTTAGGAACCACTGTCAAGCGTCACGTGAGGCATCATAAGGCTGATCCCTGCTCTTGGTCTCCTCAGGACCTATCAGCACTTGGCACGTCACTCTCTTCCCTTTGTAGACCTTCCTCGGTTTCCTCATCTTCAGATGTGTGTCTGAGAAGGACGGAATAGCAGTGGCGGTGCTTGATTAGGGGTGGTAAAGAGACTTCACCGTGTGCACACCGACCCACGGTTACTGTCTCCCTACAGTACTGGATGAAATGGTACTCACATGAACCCCAGTTTGATGGCAAAGAACTCTGCTTTGTACAGGTGCCTGCCGTAGCCAGAGGGTAGGGAGTTTTTAGCAGTCAGGCTACTCCAAACCCTCATACCATGTGACATTTGTGAGCTTGAGATTTTCGCTTCAGACAGGAACAGCAAACAAACATGAAGTTGAACTTCTGAGTTCACAGATCACCATTTGGCTGTGTTTTCCAGGTGCGATTCGAAGGGCTGACAGGAAACGTGCAGTTTAATGAGAAAGGGCGCCGGACCAACTACACCCTCCACGTGATAGAAATGAAACACGATGGCATCCGGAAGGTAAGGCCACCTTGAACCCTCTTCAGGGCAGCCAGGACCAACCAGGGCTCCAGCCTGAGCTGAGGGCCCCGGGAACCCCCCTTTGCCTGAGCTGCAGCTGTGAAGACACTCAGGCATGGTAGGCTCTAGACTGGGGTCTGCTGCTGGCCAGCATGGACTTGGGGAAGTCGGGTCCCTTCTCTGAGAATGCCTTCGCTCATTCCCAAAGTAAAGGTTAAAATCTTTCACAAATGGAAAGGGGACCAAGAGACGGAGGAAGGCAAGGGCGGGAGAGAGGGATGTAAAAAGATGTGTTGTGTACGTGCACTAACTCCCCACAATGAATGTCATCATCCTGTACAGCAAAAAATTAAAATAGTTGCTTCTGTTGTAGGGTGCTTGTAAAAATGCAAGGAATCGGAAAAATTTTGAAAATACAAATAAGAGATGTGAACAAAGGCCACTGCCCTTCTTGGTAGACCCTGAAGAACTTAATAATATTGTTTATTAACACAGTTATCTATCTTCTGCTGGTCTACGCTTGGTCACATGTACTCTATTTTCCACACACGTTACACTTAAAAATGTGTGTACATGTGAATATGTGTGTGTGTGTGTGTGTGTGTGTGTGTGTGTGTATGATATGAATGTATATGCATACTGAAATTCTTTTAAGACATTCAAATCCTCGGGATAATTTTCAGAATTCCACCAGACCTTGTGTGATTTGGCCTCTGCCAGTTCTTCTAACCTTGACCCTTGTCGCTCCTTTCCTCCCCACTCCAGTCGTCCCAACTGCCTTTCACTCCCCTCTGCTGGGACTGACTCCACCTGACTCTATTCTTTGGCCTGGCCAGTGCCTCCTCAGCCTTCAGTACTCACAGCTAGTGTCATTCCTCAGAGCAACCTCTCCTGGCCTCCTGAGCGTCTCATGTCAGCCTCTAGCTCTGTGTTCTTGGCCTTCATCGCACCTCTAATTCCATGCAATGGACGCTGTTGTTTCCAGAGGGCATTGGACAGTGTGGTGTGAGCACATTAGGGTGTCCTCGATCTGTGAACAAGCTCTGCTCTCATGGGCGTGGAAGCCTGGCTTTACCACTTACTATTCTGCCACGGTGGACAAGCGCCTGAGCTTGTCCTCCTCAGATAAGTGGGGATCACCACAATACTGTGACTTCATAAGGCCCTTAAATGAATCAAATGGCCTGCAGCATGCAGAAGTTCAAAGTACCGATCCTGGCACGTTATCTCCAACAATGCTCTGTGTGGCTGTTCCATCAAATGCACTTGCCACCAGCATCAAGTGGCTATTGAAATGTAATGTTTAATTTATTCAAATGTAAAAACCAGTCCCTTCGTGGCACTCACCCCATATCAAGGGCACAACAGCCACATGGGGCACATGGCTTTCGAAACACTTTTCACATCACAGGTAGCCAGTGCCTTTTCCTCTGCTCATCGGTAGATCTTCGTCATCACAAAATATAAGTGGATGGCTCTGGGCTCTGTGTCTTCAGCTCTCACAAACCTGTCCTCTCTTTTCTCTTACTGAGAGCTCCCTCTTCCACCTCATCTTCTATCTCAACTGATCCCATCCATCCATCCAGGCTGTGTTAACTTCCCGTTGATGCTGTAACAAACTGCTGCAAACAGTGGCTCAAAACAACCCAGACTTGTCTCCATGCAGTTCTGTAAGTGTCCCTGGTCGAAAATTAATGTGTTGGTCAGGCTGTGATCTTTTCTAGGAGCTCTGAAAGATAATCAGTTTCTGTGCCTTTTCCAACATTCCCTAGAAGCTTCCCAAAATTCTTGGTTCAAATTATCCTCCCTCCAGCTTCGAGCCCAGCAACAACACACCACCCTGAACTTCTTCCACTGTTATAGCTTCGCCCTGACCACAAGGAAAGGTTGTCTGCTTTTAAGGATGGAGTCGTGGTGTTTCTCTCATCCAGGTAGTCCAGGCTAATTTCCCCATTAAAGATCACATCGGAAATGTCCCTTGTGATATACAAGACAGCATGTTCACAGGCTCTGCAGATGAGGGCAGAGACATTAGGGCGCTCATCTACCTGCCACAAAGGCCAAGTTTAAATGTCTCCCCTTTCACTACGTCCTCCCAACCAGGAGCAGCCTTCTCTTGTCCTCTCTCGTTCTACACATGCCTGACTCCAGCAGGAGATCACCAGGCTCTCCCTGGTTCTGGGGGCTGCTGGCACACATCCTGTACTCTTCCTAGACCGGAAGCAGTTCATTTCCCACCTTCTGCTTTAGGGTGCTGCTACTGTAAGCCCATCACCTGCCTCACTTTTCAGCAAGTAATAATCAAGCGCACCCTATTTGGCTACAGATGTATCTTCCAGGAGCACATCCACTTGTCAGCAAACCTTTGCATGTTGGTTACATGAGGATGCTTCCTGGCACAGATCTGCTGTGAATGAGGCTCCTCCAGAAATGGTCCAAGTCTGTTTACTTCTGTTTCCCCATCCTTCTAATCTTTGCTTCTAGAGAAGACCTGCGCTAGGCCCCTTTGTTCCTGCAACTCTCAATCTCCACACCGATGAAATGGGAGCAGACCGTGTCTGCATTAGTGCCTTATCCTGATTCAGTGAACAGTTCCTGTGTCACTGTTTATTAAGACCTCTGTCCGATGTCAAAGAGAAGCCACATGACTGGTATCTGACAAAACGTTGAGATGGCTTTTTGATCTCTTTCAAGCATTTTGTCCCTTCATGTGCTTATGAAGACTATCTGCCTGAATGATACAATCCTTTTTTCAGATGGATACACTGAGATAGAGGGGCAGGGTCAGCTGCTTTAAGTCTCAGAGTGAGCCATGGCTGAATGGCGACCTTAGTTCAAGCTTCTGACTCTGTAACCTTGCTCATCTGCCACAGCTGTTTCCAAGGCTGAGGGAGCCACAGTGACACAAACGGGACATTTGATGACTAAGGGGTGAGGGGAATGCTCAGGGAATGCTGCCACCACTGGAAGGCGCATCCGACAGGTGACCTCCTCCGCAGGCCAGTTTCCTTTCGAAGTCTGAGGAGGGCGCTATTGTTCCCTGCCTTGCCGGTGAGACCATAAATGTTGCAGCTTTTGGTAGAAGATCTGGAGCAGGCAAGCAGGTTGCCCTTAGAAAGAAAACTGCTGACCATGAACCTAGGTGTCTCTCAGAATCCTCAAAATGGCCTTTTTGTCCTCAGGCAGGGAATTAAAAATACATATGTATTCCTACTCCCTGGTGACACAGACTGGTATTTCTATACAATGCATGAGTAGCTACATGTGCCTCAATTAAAATATGAGTGTTGATCTGGACTTTCTTCTCAGCGATAGTGAAGTAGTTTCATTTTGTTTGTTTGTTTGTTTGTTTTGTACCACAGATTGAACTCAGGACCTAGGGCTTGCGAGGCAGGCAGTGGAAACCTCTCAGCCAAATCCCTTTTAACCTAAGTGAGATATGGGAGCGCCCATAATCACACTGTCCCTCTCGGCAGAACTTTTCTCAGCGATAGTGAAGTAGTTTCATTTTGTTTGTTTGTTTGTTTGTTTTGTACCACAGATTGAACTCAGGACCTAGGGCTTGCGAGGCAGGCAGTGGAAACCTCTCAGCCAAATCCCTTTTAACCTAAGTGAGATATGGGAGCGCCCATAATCACACTGTCCCTCTCCTGGCAGAACTTTAGCTTTCTCTGTGGAAGTAGAATTAAGGCCTCTATCAATGGACAAACCGCCCTTCGGTGTGAACATCTCCAGTTGTTATTCCTAGATCCAAGGATCCCAGATCTTTGAGTTGACCCTAAACTTTCCCCTGAGACTCCTGGGAGCCCTTTTATCTCTTCAGGCCTTTCTCTTCATTAAGACTTTCTCAGAAGTGGAGGATCTGTAATAAGAATCACTGGTTCTTAGCAAATAAAAGAATTACTGGGTAGCCTGTCTTTAAAAATACAAATTCTTGGGTCTTAGCCATTGGGCTCCGTTCTGTTTTTAGAGAAAAGAGGACCAGTAATCTGTACATTTAGAGCTCCTTCCCCAGCCTCAATTGTTCCTGAGGCTCAAGAGATTCAGTGAGAAACACAGGCTAAGCAGCAAAGAGCTTGGGTTTTAGGAACAGACAGACCAGAATTTAACTCTCTGCTTTGCTCTGTACTAAGCCCATGACCTTGACCAAGTTATTTAGCCTCCAAGAACCTCAGTTAATGATCTGTAAAAGAGACGTAATGGCCTTTTACTTTATAGGATTGATACAGGATTAAATGAGACAGTTCCTGATAAATAGGTTTGGGAAAACAGCACCTGGCACGCAGTGGACATTCAGCCCATGGCTTGTTTGTTTGCCTGTTTGTTTTATAAACTCCCTTCTGTGGGCCACAGAGAGTTTATGTAGCATTGAGTTTGAATGAGTCAGGCCATACGAGTCAATGAAATGGATAAATCAGCAAACTAACTGAATAGCCCTAAAATCCTCAAGCAAATGGCTGTGCTTTATTTTTCAGATCCCAGGGCCATTTTTAAACTTCCTTTCAGTAACTAAATCCTTCCTTAGGATGTGGGCTTAAACATTCTTTGTTTTATAGGGGATCTGACTTTCAGAAAATCAATTCTTCCACAACTGTGCCTTCGGGCCTTTCACTCAATCAGCCTCCTAGCAAAGTAATTTTTCAGATTTTCAGGGACGACCTAGTCATGTTGGTTGCAGTGAACATCACCTGGCCTCAGCTGAAATGTGTAATAAAAAACAAGCCACGCCATCCTGATTTGGGGCCTCGAGAAAACTTTCCTGATCTTCAGGCCTGTATCCTGCCCACTCACGTGCCAACGTACTTTGTAGGTATTTGGATCCACTTTGACACCCTACAGAAATGTGTGCGCTCTAAATACACATCTCTCATAAAGTTTACAATATTTAGTTGCCAGTAGTGGCACTGCCTGCACTAAAGCTAATTCCTAGGGAATCCCATTTAGAGCTATCACTCCACAATGGGGTCCCGATTTAGGGATCTCTCTCTGGATAAAATACC